AGGAGTGAGTAAACAGTGCAGAGACACAAATAGATCATCACTTTCTGATGGCAGCAAGGAGTGAGTAAACAGTGCAGAGACACAAATAGATCATCACTTTCTGATGGCAGCAAGGAGTGAGTAAACAGTGCAGAGACACAAATAGATCATCACTTTCTGATGGCAGCAAGGAGGGAGTAAACAGTGCAGAGACACAAATAGATCATCACTTTCTGATGGCAGCAAGGAGTGAGTAAACGGTGCAGAGACACAAATAGATCATCACTTTCTGATGGCAGCAAGGAGTGAGTAAACAGTGCAGAGACACAAATAGATCATCACTTTCTGATGGCAGCAAGGAGTGAGTAAACAGTGCAGAGACACAAATAGATCATCACTTTCTGATGGCAGCAAGGAGTGAGTAAACAGTGCAGAGACACAAATAGATCATCACTTTCTGATGGCAGCAAGGAGGGAGTAAACAGTGCAGAGACACAAATAGATCATCACTTTCTGATGGCAGCAAGGAGTGAGTAAACAGTGCAGAGACACAAATAGATCATCACTTTCTGATGGCAGCAAGGAGTGAGTAAACAGTGCAGAGACACAAATAGATCATCACTTTCTGATGGCAGCAAGGAGTGACCAGGGGAGTCTGGCGGACACTCAACACTCAAGCGAAGGGCAAGTCATACATACAGTTAGTTTGTTACTGGTACCACCAGAATTGGAACCGTGCTTGCTGCTGAAGGTGGGGATGGAGTGCTCATAGGAATGCTCCTAATGCTGTAATATCAGTTCTTAACATAACTCACATCTGGAATACAGTGTATGGCTTCACAATCATGTTTTTTCAATAGGTTTAACTGTAGGCCACAAATATTTTGTTTCCCTAAAAATACGACCTAACTCTAAAATAATCCTTGGCATGATTTTTCAGGGTGCTAGTAATATAAACCATACCTCAGATATAAGCTCTAGTTAAGGTCGTTAGCCATATGGACAGATTGTGTTAGTCCGTTGAAACATACAAAAAGCATTGAATTACAAAGTGATGAATGTATAAATAAATATAAATAATCTTATTCACTTATAATGTAGATTTGTTGGGGTACTTGAATGAATGTTTAATTTTTAATTTGAAAACGTGTAGACTTTTGTACCTATACAAACAAATAAGATTCCCCTAAAATGATAACCAGGAGGCTGCGTGGTCTCGAGGCATGGTGTCCGCCTAGAGTGCTAGAGGTTCTGGGTTCAATCCCCTGGTAAGGGCTGGGATTTTTTCGCGTGGACTTGAACTTCTAGTAATTCCTACTGGTCTCTGGGTAGTAAGATCAGATGCTCTTTTATATGAAGAATTAACCAACAAAATACATGAATCCATGAATATCAACTGATAGAACAAAGGCTGCAGGAACAGATAGCGTGGGAAGTGGGTCCCCACCACCTTCACTGCACCGTAACTGATTTCACAGATTTATGAGCAGTTTAGTTATATTATTACAGAAGAAAAGGCAAACAAAACATACTTTTTAAATTTTTGAATAGGAATATGAAGAATTAGCCAACAAAATCCATGAATATCAACTGAGAGAACAAAGGCTGCAGGAACAGATGAGTGTGGGCGGCGGCTCTCCACCACCTTCACCGCCCCTCAGCAGATATCAATCTGAAGAACCTCTCTTGTCGCCCGGTCTCCCTCTTATCCCAAATCACACAACCAACAGTCTGCGCACTTTGCATGTAGGCCAGCGAAGTCCTCAGTTGGGTGCACGTGGAACGAATCATATCAAAGCTCATCTACCAAATAACATGGTAACAACGGTAAGATATTTTCTTTCCCATTTGAGTGAAACTAGCTTACCTGTTGCTGTCTTCATGGTCTGGAAAAGAAATTGTCAAGCTGCTGCTCATATGTTACCTTTAGCTGTGCCAGGAATTAGGGCTGTACTGAATATTCGCTTCGGGGCAGAATAGTGGACCTAATAACTATTCGGTATTCGGCCGAATAGTTGCGGTTGGGCCGAATACGAATAGTGGTTACCTTAAACCCGTTTCTGGACTGGTAGAAAATAAACATATCAAGATTTCCCACCTTGGTTCAAACTGTCAAGCGTTATCTTTGTGCACCACCTACGAGCGTACCAAGTCAACGTCTGTTTAGTACAGCTGGAAATACCTTCAGTGAGACAAGAAGCTGCCTTAATGCTGACAACATGGAGCAAATTTTTTTTTTTCTTTTTTTTTGGAAAGCTAATGCCGCTTTCATGGATTAACTAAGCTGTCAGTGACAATTTACAAGTTTAGTTACTTGTTATAAAACTAAGAATACTTTCATTCCTATGCATTAGTTACCACAGACTGACTGACTGAAGGATGCAAAACATGAAATGTTTTTAAATGTTTACTATTCTGTACTACATTTTGTAAAGTAAAACTTCAGCGTACATTTGACATTATGTATATTTTCTTTTTAGATCTATTTTATACACGAAAGTGGAAGATGGGCCTCAGTTTAAATAGTGGGAAGACAGAAGTAATGGTGGTATCAAAGAAAATAATTATTCCTAAATGTGTAATAAAAGTCAATGGTTTTATTTTGGGACAAGTACAGAAATTTCAGTATCTGGGCACATGGATAACATCAGATGGAAGATGCATTACTGAGATAAGAAACAGAATAGGACAGGCTAAAACTGCATTTCATAAAATGAAGAACATCTTATCCAATATATCTTTGTCATTGAAGGTTAGAAAAATAATTTTTGCTTGCTGCATACATCAAGTTTTAACATATGGCTGTTAGTCCTGGACAATCGGTATGCAAGCCAAACAATTTCTTGAGACCTCAGAGATGTGGTTTTACAGAACAATTCTTAAAATACCTTGGACAGTGAAAAAAAAAAGCAACCAAGAAGTTTTGATAGAGGCAGGAGCCCGAAGAAAGCTACACACAGACATCAGAAGGAGACAGTCATCATTGTTCGGCCATATTATAAGATGAGGGAAAATGGAACATGTGGTGACCACTGGAAAGATATGTGGAAGAAGAGATAGAGGAAGACAACAAGAGAAGATTCTTGACAGTCTTGTTGCATGGCATGGAGGTGTGTCAGCACACGAACTAATACATGCTGCAGGAGATCGCAGATTGAGGCGAGGCATAATGGCCCATGACAATCGGCAAGGCACCTAATGATGATAATGCACTATTCGTATTCGGCCGAATAGTTGGTCCAGCTATTCGTATTCGGCCTAATAGTGAAAATCACTATTCGGTACAGCCCTACCAGGAATATATTCACCCAGAATACATTGAAAGAGGAATTGTATCCCCTTTAAATATACTGTACTTAGATGGGTGTCCTGCGGAATTCTTTAAAATGCCATTGTCGCCAAACCGAAGCATTTGTTTCCAAAATGTAGATTTGTATTAATTTAGAGAGATGACATGACGCTGCATTTATAGGACGAACTCATGACATCAGTTGGTCAAACATTTCTGTGTGAACAGGAATCTGTGTGAACAGGCACATAAATTGTTAAGGAATGTGAACTTTATGTAATATTTGACACACTCAGTCAACAGTTTTTGAAGTATGCAGAAGTGGTTGTGATACTCATGTGAACAAAAACAAAATTGTGTTTTCAACAATGAAGGGTGGCTGTCTTTCTTAATAAGGAGTCGCCTATACGTAACAATCATCAGGTTTTCTGAAGTGTTTTAAAAAAAACTGTTTTCATGTCATTGATTTAAATAATGAGGTCATAGAAATTACACTTTGGAAGCAGTGGCATTTAAGATATGTAATCCTGCTTGATGTAAACAATAGGATCACATAATTAATTTTAGAATTCTGTGATTGTCAGATGGATAGGTAATCTTAGACTTTGATTGTTGAGAGGTACAGTGTAACAAAAAACTATGTGATTTGTATTTTTCATTTAACTGGATTCAAATTTTGCATTTTTTAAAATCATCATGTAGCAGGTCTTTTGCAGAACGTCGCTGTCATCACGGTCTGCCTGAAAGAAACTCGATCTCTCGCCAGCTCTCCCGCCTCATGTACTTTCATACTCAAGGAGTCAATTATATCATGTGCCCATGTGCTTGCTACATACATCCAGTTTTAACATATGGATGTGACTCCTGGACAATCGGTAGGCAGGCCAAACAATTTTTAGAGGCCTCAGAGATGTGGTTTTACAGAAGAATGCTTAGAATACCTTGGACAGCCAAAAAAGAGCAACCAAGAGATTTTGAAAGAGGCAGGAGCCCGAAGACAACTTATCACAGACATCAGAAGGAGACAGTCATCATTTTTCGGCTATGTTATGAGAAGAGGGAAAATAGAACATGTTGTGACCACTGGAAAGATCTGTGGAAAAAGGGATAGAGGAAGACAACAAGAGAAGATGCTTGACAGTCTTGTTGCATGGCATGGAGGTGTGTCGGCACCCGAACTGATACATGCTGCAGGAGATCGCAGATTATGGAGAGGCATGATCGCCCACGCCAGTCGGCAAGGCACCTGATGATGATGATGATGCCCATCTTCGTGTTGGTCGACCCCTGCCCCTCCTTCCCGGTACCATACCTTCTGCTATAAATTTGTCCAGTCTATCGTGGCGCTTGATATGACTAAAATATTTCAGCTTTCAAGACAGGATGCTGTTTATTAGCCAATCTTTCTTCATGTTCAGATCTTTCAAGATGTCAGTATTTCTCCTCTTCTTTGTCCAAGATATTCTGAGAATCTTTCTATAGCATTTCAGCCCAAAAGCCCCTATTCTCTTTCTTAAGGACTAATTTCTTTATTTCTTACTTTCTTTATAAATTGATATAAACACTGTTGTAATGCAACTGATGGAATGCAGCTGGATATGCTAGCCAGTAAGTGGTATATTATTTGAGTCCTAATAATTTTTTGGTGGGGGGGGGGGGGGAGGGGGGGGGGGGGTGAGGGTGTCCAGTAACAGAAAAATATTTTTAGAAACCACATGTGTCATCTTCACAGGTCGTTGCACATCCAGGAACCACTCTTAAAGATGGGTTAATGAAGGCAATGAATAGAAGGCAGCTGGACCCAGCAAAGTGCCAAGTGTTCAGGCATAAAACAAGGTAGAGTACATTGCTAAGTACCTGTAGGGGAAATTTCTTTTTCACTTTTAAGACTGCAGGAGCTTTTGTTGCAAGTACGAAATACTTCTGTCTTACTTTGTCCCTAATCTTGTTTCTGTCTGATATGTTTAGATAATTATTTAGCCATAAACAGTACATTGCTTCTTGTTCTGCCTTCATCCTTAAAAGGGTGGTGACAGGCTAACTTGTGGTTTACAGCAAGGGTGAGGCATATGCACCTTTCGGCCCAAAACCTTATTTCAGCAAAACCTCTATTTCTCCTTTACAACATACTCAGGCGGACAGTGGGTCAGCCCCCACCCTTTCCCTCATGGGGCCCCAGAACCCACACAGGAATATCTCTTACATCTGCCGGTAATAAATGTCTTCTGCTTCTCCCTGCCTCCTTCACTCATTTCTCTGTTACATCATCCTCTGTTACATCATCTTCTGTTACATCATCTTCTGATAACAAAATCCTCTGTTAAATCACCTCTGTTACATCACTCTCTGTTACATCAGTTACACCACCCTTTGTTACATCACATCACCCTCTGTTACATCATCGTCTGTTTACCCCCCCCCCCCCCCCTTTACATCACATCAGCCTCTGTTACATCAGCCTCTGTTACACCCCCCTCTGTTACATCACATCACATCACCCTCTGTTACATCACATCACATCATATCACCCTCTGTTACATCACATCACCCTCTGTTACATCACATCACATCACCCTCTGTTACATCACATCACCCTCTGTTAAATCACATCACATCACCCTCTGTTACATCACATCACATCACCCTCTGTTACACCTCCCTCTGTTACATCACATCCTCTCTGTTACACTCCCCTCTGTTACATCACCCACCCAGAGCAGCTGAATACATAATTGTAATAAATACTTGCTGTAGCTGTAGATTCCCCAGTTATAGTCATTTGATAAGCTGGATTGGTGTATCTAGAACTTGTTCCTGTCAGTTCGAGAGCCCGAAGACAACTAATCACAGACATCAGAAGGAGACAGTCGTCATTTTTCAGCCATGTTATGAGAAGAGGGAACATGGAACATTTGGTGACCACTGGAAAGATCTGTGGAAGGAGGGATAGAGGAAGACAACGATAGAAGATTCTTGACAGTCTTGTTGCATGGCATGGAGGTGTGTCAGCACACGAACTGATAGATGCTGCAGGAGATAGCAGATTGTGGAGAGGCATGATCGCCCACGCCAGTCGGCAAGGCACCTGATGATGATGATACACTATCCGTATTCGTATTCGGCCGAAGAGCTGGTCCCACTATTCGTATTCGGCCGAATAGTGAAAATCACTATTCGGTACAGCCCTACCTAGTAAAAAGCCTGTTTGATGTCAGATTTACCTGTAAATGTCAGTGATAGGTGTCATGGCATAAATTATCTGATACATTTTAATTGTTTAGACCCCAGGATTTAATGCTTCCCTGGTAACACGTGAGAGAAGGTTAAACAGAGTCACTTCTTTGTTTCCTTATTTCAAAAAATTGTGTTGTTTAAAATGCTCAACAATACTCAAGACGTCACCTAGAACTTATTTGGGGCACTTCTCGTCCAGAACACATTTACGAAGACTTAATTAATCTCTTCATACAGAAACAACAGGCCACTGCATTGAGAATTTAGACTGCATAAGACTCTGCAGCTATGTGTACAAGAATGTCAAGATTGGCACTTGGCCATGTGGGTAGGCACTACATAATACTGTATATGTGCTGCAGACATGCTCTCTACATTCCTTAGTGAGATCCCAGGTCAGGCCGATTGGCATTTCGGTGGAAACCAAGCTGTATGGATCAGTGGAGCACATGCATCACACCACAGACTTCATAGTCTGTCGCCTTCTCATCAGAAAATCACTGGCAGGAGAATGAAGTCTTGTGTAGTAGTCGTAGTCATGGTTTTACCTTCACTGCAATCAGGTCACGCATACTTGATTCTCTCCTGTGCCAGTGAAAATCAAATAAAATGTCCTGCACTGTCCCATTTGAAACACTTATGAACACACAGTTAGTCCCTGTACAGTCCAGAAATCTGTGCACGCAATAAATGCATAAGGCTGGAGGTGCCAAAGCCAACAGTAACCACCAGAAATGTAGTTTGTTGGTGATGGATGTAATCAGACAAAATTATAACATATTTCGCCAGCCCACACATAAACCGGCTACCCACCATACAGAATGCCACGATACAACCACTGCACAAATGAAACGCATTCCACATAAAAAACACAACTCCCATTGCTGCACTAAGCACTTAACTTAGGCAGCAAAACCATAGACTTCCATCCATATGTAGAAACTGCATTAGCAAAGTGCTGTCAGGAGCAAAGATAACTTCAAAGCTAAACATTCTGCCATGCTGTGTTCTGTATTGGGCCAGAAGCCATGATAAGATTGAAGAAGAAGAAGAAGAGGGCACTCAACACTGTTTAAATTGTAAAAATATATTTTCAGAATTCAGCTGACGTGGAACACAGACATGGGAGAACTGGCAGGTCAGGAGGTCTCGGTTGAGCTCATGGAGATCGATGATGACAGCAACATCACCAGGTCCATGCCCCGTGCTGTGGTCCTGTCACATAATTTTGTAAGCATCTTTTTGCAAATTCTTACGTACAGGGCTATTCAAAATGCTGGGTACGCTTTCATTCATATATATTTCTTTGAATATACATTGCATATTAATAATATGCATGCAAGAGAGCGGGGAAGGTCTACAATTTATAATGCTGCCGCTAGAGCTAATGCTCTTTTTTTTTTTTTTTCAAAGGATTTAGAGTTGGGACAGACCCATCTAACATTTTGCTGTTTCGGCATTACATACATTATTTCATTCCTACATCATTTAACAGGAAGTAATAAATATCATCAGTATCTAAGTCTTAATTACAAACACTAGAATGTGATCTGATTATTTCTACATTTCTAAACAATGATAAGTATAGTAACTGTAATAAATCTAGCCTGCCTGTTAAGTGTCTCAGAATTTCTGAAGATTGAAACCTGATCACTTAATTGGTAGTCCAGTACACTGACCACGGCATCTCTATGGTTATTTGAGACCAGCCTAAGTAGGAGGAGTGAGTAGTTGTTGTTGTTATTGATCCAGCGGCGCATGAGCTTTCGCCCCTATGGCCCAATGCCATGTAGTAGATTTTTACGTCGGAGGAGTGCAAAAAGTACCTGTTTCTACTAGCTCCCCTTTTCCACTGAAAGACGGATAAAAAATTAGGTTTACAGTACCAAAAAGAAACATGTTATGTGCATTGTCTCTACATGTAAGTTCTGGGGCTCTAGTTTTGCTGAGGAAAAGAAAAGAATGGACCTACTGCTCCTTTAACAAACATGTTGTAAAAGGCAACTAATTACAGGTTTGCTAGAATAGGATGGGTTGTGTTGTGTATGGTGCAGATGTTGAAGCCTAGCTGTAAACCACAACACAACATGCCAGCTGACTTTTTAAAGCTGAAGGCAGATGAGGAAGAAAAAAGATATATTAAATTTTTCTTTCAATTTAAAAAAAATTGTTTGTTAAAATTGAAGTGACTGATGCAATAATCCAGAGCTTTCAAAACAGTTTCATGACACGTCATCATTTTTGTTCGTCCATCACAACTGATGAAGAGCACTTTGCATCCAAACTTAATAATGATCAGTGATTGCGAGTACGAAGATGGCTGATGAGTCCTGTTGGAGCGCAGTTAATTCTTGAACAATGTTGACAGCTGATAGAAGCAACAGTTGAGATGTGATTTGCCACACGGTTCTTTCTGGTCTGCCTCCGTTTCTCTTACAGTGCAACCTTCACTGGCTGACAGGCTGATGCACCATGTTCGAAGACTGTGTTCCATCCAGCCATGTTCTGTCTGGATGCCAAATGATTTGAGAGCCATTCTAAGAGAGTCCTAATCGTGAAACAGTGAATGTATTTATGCCTGGTGCACTAGCTAAATTGGTTAAACCAGCTGCATGGTGACTGGTCAACTGACTCTCTGTGGTCCAAGTATACGCTTGTAGGGTAGGCACAGAAGCCACACATTTCCCAGATTTACGATATCTATCATAGAATCAAGGCCGAATGGTTGCGATATCCATAGTACCGAGCCAAAGGGTTTACAACTCATGGTTTTTAGATTTAAAGAAAATGTATGTATCTGTATGTCTTAAAAGGCATTATTTTAAGCTTTAGTTTGCTAGGAGAGTACTGTGTGTTGCAAAATTATGTGGCTAAGTCGATGCGAACGCTTTGTAATGCCGGGATGCCGGATTTGATCTCACCTGCGGGCCATGTGCCTTGCTTTGGTTTTGACAGTGGTATCAAGAGAGACGACCGTCCAGAAAGCAATGGCAAACTACTGCACATAAATTTGCCTAGAAAAACTACTCAACAGCCAGGGGCTGTTTTGGTTGGTTCTGCAACGTCCTGTAAAGGAGACACAACTAACATTAATAGTATGTCCCCAACATGAGCAGTTTGGAAAACCCTGCCGTGGTCTGTAAACCAGTAATTTTGTTTATACTGAATATTTCAGGGAAGGAAAACATATTTTTCACTGACTTTCTGTGACATCTGCCACAACCTGCTGTTCCAAAGTATACGCTGTCAGACATGCGGGATCAAGTTCCATCAGCGATGTGAAGACAAGGTGCCCAGAAATTGCCAGGGGGATTTAGATGTCTACTTGCGCAGTGCCCGGGATACAAATCGAGAACAAGTTCGCCAGTGGGTACTCATTTTATTCTCTGTGGCTACTTCTTTTAATTCCCTGTGTGAGTTCAAGACCTCGTTTTAGGTGGATAAAAGAATAAATCCACTGCCCTTTAGCAAGCATGTGTTATTGAAGGGTTGACTGAGATATCACAGCCTGGCTGTAAACCGCAATGTACAAATAGTCCTGTTAATGTCAAAATAAGAAGGATTTTTTTTTTCAAACTGTGGCTCCTGCACTGGTTGGTATGTCTGTGAGAAGTGGACAGTCATTGCGCTTTTAGATTTGCAGCAGGTCTGACGCAAGGAAAGAGATGTATATTTGTATATGTGGACATGGCCGTAATGACGGGAATATAAAGAAGAATATGTTGTACTTCATGGAAACAGACACAAATACAGAGGTCTCAGAGAGACTGGGAGTGAAAAGTAAGTTGATGAAAGAATAAAAAAGGGAGAAGAAATATTTCAGTCACAGTAAGTGTAAAGAAAGCTTAGGAAATAAATAAAAAAGAGAGAAGACATATTTCAGCCACAGAAAAAGATGTTACACTTTTTAAAAAACCATGTTTGAGAGCAAAGTTGAAGACAGGCAAGCAAGTGGTAGACCACATTATAAGGTGGACGAGCAACAGTTTGTCAGATTGTACAATCAGGATGAAAGACGTAAAAACAGTTAAAAGCTAGCTTAAAAGATGTGGATTGCTGCTGGAGAGAGAGCATCTGTGAGTATGCCCAGCGTGCTGTTATGTATTATTCTCAAATCAGTAAATCTGGTAGTGCTACAAAATAAAGGATAGCATCAAGAGATAAACTGGCAATAGTCTCAGTGAGTGTACAACCCAGGTCCAGAGACGGAGAGTGTCAGAGTTGCAGCCAGACTTCATTGTGGAAATGAAATGAGACCGATTCCTTGATATGCAGGGACCTTATGGATATTGCTGAGGAAGCAAAAAGGCAGTATGATGTGAATTTTGAGAACTAATGGATGCTAAAGTGAGAAATGCTAGTTAGCTTGCACCTTTCTGTCTTTCCAGATGAGTTGTTAGACTGCTAAAGAGAAGCATGGCAATCATAGCCCTTTATGGTCCACTTTAGGCCATGGGGGATGAAGTTTCTCATCTACTGTACACAAAACCTGGCCAGTATTGTAGAGACCATATGTTGCTAGTGCAGTCAAATCCCTCACCTGGTTTCCACCAGAAGCAAGAAATGTAAAGGACTCTTATTAAACACCTAACAACATGTTCAGCAAATGAGGTCTGAGGAGGATGGAGCTGTGAGGAGTTGCCAGGGGATCTGGCTGATGCTCAACACTCAAGGGAAAGGCAAGACAGATGTACAGTCAGTCAGTTACTGGTGCCATCAGAATTGGAACTCTTCGTTTGCTGCTGAAGATGGGGGACGGCGCTAATGGGAGTGTCCCGAGTGCTATGATGTTGATTCTTAATTCAATGACTTATAACATTCCCTGTTAAACTTTTGTGGCTGGGTTCAGTGACTTATAACATTCATTGTTAAACATTTGCGGCTGGATTCACTTTATAGCACAGGTCAGTTATTTAAAAAAAAAAAAACAAAGTGTGATCATTTACCCTGTAAACTTAGGTCATGGCTGAAATGCTGTAGAAAGATTCTCACAATACCATGGAACAAAAATAAAAGAATTAGGAATGTCTTAAAAGATCTGAACATCAAGAAAGATTTGCTCATAAAGAGCATCTTATCTTAGAAACTAAAATATTGGGGATGTATGAAGTGTCACGGTGGATTGCAAAAATTACTACGAAAGAATGAACAAACTTTTTTTCAGAGGGTTACAAATTGGGCAGGCAGTTGTCTTTTTCCTGTGGTAGTTTGTTATCAGGTATTTTATATTATGTACAGTACTCAAAGATATTTTTCTTCAAAATAGGACCTTGGCTTCCAGGTCAACCTGAAATGGGTACCAGGGTAATGTCCTGGGTAGCAAAGGCAGCTGATTTAATGTTGACCACATTACCTACAGAGAACCGATAGGTCTAAACAGTCGTGATTCTAGCATAACCTGCCTGATGTGCCAACATGTGTGTAACATCTGATGTTTTGTATTGTTAATGTCCTGTAGATACTTAACCGATGGTCAGGGTTCTGCATGCAGTAAACAAGGTCAGTCTTCATCCAAAGGTGGTCACCAGAGTCGTAGTCCGGCGCCTCAGTTAGGTCAGAGAGAAAGGTCAACGTCGGCTCCAAATGTGTGTGCTAACATGGTTGAGATTGGTGATTTGAATCAGCAGGTAAGAGAATGTTGGTTGTGGAGTCTGTTTGGAAATGTGCTGAGAGAAGGGGAATTAAATTTAGACTGGGTACTAGACACAAACAGACTCTACTGCCATATGTAGGGATTTCAACATTAGGGATTTAGAACTGTGCCCATGGGGACAGGCACCACAGAATCCTGAGTATGTGCTGCAGACATGCTCTCTACATGCATCAGAGGGATCCCAGGTGGGGCTGGTTGGCATTCCAATGGATACCAAGCTGTTTGGAACAATGAAAGACACATGTTGCACCAGACTTCATAGAGACCTGTGGTCTTCCTATCTGAAAACTAATGACAGGGAGAATAAAAAAGATTATTATATCATGGACCGGGCTGTCGAGTATGCAGTTGTAATTTCTATGGAGATCGCTTGGGATCGTTGCTGGAGTTTTAGAGTTTGTGCTTTGTGTGATCCACTTGGCAGAAAGCAGAGAGGGGGAGCCATTTAGGATACAACTCGATACAATGGTCGACTTTCTCGACATAAAACTTGAAACATGTTATCCCTGTGTGGATTCCGGGGCCCCATTGTGGGGAAAATGAGAAAAGACCCACTGCCTTCCCAACAAGCATGTCATAGAAATTGACTAATTAGGGCATCCTTCAAAGTCAGAGTAAATTTGTCTGAGATGCAAGGAACCAAGAGCCTGCATACAATCAAGCCAGATCTGTGAAATGGATGTGCATGTAACACTCAGGTTCTGGAACAGGACTAAAGTCCACAGGTGGTGGACAACCAGAATTTTCTGCCAGAGTTTGCCGCTGGTGAATGCAAAGAAGAAGAAGAAGAACCCATCTGCTGAAAGCACACGCCGATTCTTTATCTTTTTCCGTATTCTCCCTTGAAAGGATGGCTGGCGTGTTGTGTAGGTTCTGGAACAAGCCTAGTCCAGAGGTGGATGAACACCCAGAAATTGTCACCGGAGTTTATAGCCGATGAACACGAAGAAGGAGAAACCATTATGTTGGTTGTTTAACTATTTCAGTATCAGGAAGCTCATCATAGTTCATAGGTTACACTCTGTGTCAGAGCCATTCATCTGAGCTTACCCAGAGGCTAAAGTGTTGGAAAATGGGGATTGTCTATAGTGAGCTGCAAAATGGGAAACGTTCCCAAGGCGGGCAAAAGAAACGCTTTAAGGACATCATGAAGTCTTCACTCAAAGCATTTGGGATGAATGACACCAATTGGGAGGCTGCCTCTCAAGACCGAAATGCATGGTGTGCAGCTCTACACAAGGGCCTGGCTACATGTGAAGCAAACAGAACAGCAAGACTTATTAAGAAAAGGATGGACAGAAAGATGACTGCAGGAGATCCCCTCACTGGCACAACGCTCATTCCCTATCCTCACTGTCTTGTTTTTGGGCCTGCATCGGCCTCATCATACATCTTCGTACTCATACTTGATGAAAAAGAGTGATCATCTCATCTTGATGGACAACACACACACACACACACATTTTTCAACTCTGTGAGACTGAACAAGTGTTGCTGTAAGATACAAAAAACTTTAGCATAGGAACAGTTGAATTCAACACTACCTGGGACTAAGAGAGTTAAAACTTTAAGCTATTTTGTTGAATGTTTACGATGCATTTGTTTGAAACGGTTGACTGTAAGTAAAGAAAAAAGTAAAAGTATAGGACCCTATTCTATGTCTTCATGTGTGTTGCGCATATAGGGCTAGATCTAAATTTTACAAACCGATTGCACTCAGTAGGTGATGGGTCGACAACCCGCCCACCGTCTTTACTTCCCAGGACATTACCTGGATAACTGTGAACAAGACTAAATTTGTCTTCACTTATTTTAACATTGAGAGCCGTGGTAGCGCAGTGGCTTATGGTTTATGGTTCAAATCTGCATGAGGCGGAATTTGTTTTTCAAGATTGACGTTGGCTCTCAGGTCGGCCCGGCCAAAAATGGCTAGTATCTAATGTCCTGGAAAGTATAGGTGACCTGAATGATGTTGACCTCATCACCGGTCAAATGCTGATTTGGTCAGTCAGTAGCATGTCTTTTGCAGAACCTTGCTCCCATAACAACCTTCAGGAAAACTTCTCGATCACCAGCAAGATGTCCCGCGTCCGATACACCTATCTGGGGATCATCTGCCACATCCTGCACCCATCTTGTCTTTGGCCTTCCTCTTCCTCTCTTTTCAGGCATATGCCTCTCCATTATTGTTCTTTGTAAACTTTCGTGATGTTTAAAGCGACCGAAATATTTCAGTTTTCTGTGTTTTATCGTCTTTGACAGCCAACCTTCTTCAATATTCAGTTTGAAGTATGGGTGCCTTTGTTCTTCTCTTTACCCATGATATTCTTAGAATCCGTCTATAACATTTGTATTCAAAGGCATTCATGCTCTGTTCAGCTTGTTCAGTAAGTGTCTAGGTCTCACTGGCGTATGTTGCAATCGGAAAGATGCTTGCTCTTAGAAATCTAATTTTTTGTAGTTCTGTCTGTCCCACTCCATAATTTATTTAGTTGATTTCGTCTGTGAAGAACAATTGATAATCATCGTTTAATTTCTTTCATTGTGTCCCCATTGTTGACAATCAGTGACCCAAGATATTTCCCACAACCTCAAATCTTTCCTCATTAACATATATTTCTTTCTCTATAGTAGTTTTATCTGTATGCATTATCTTTGTTTTTGCTATGCTAAGATATAAGTTGTAATTTTTACTATTTCTTTGGGGTTGAGGTTATTTACTTCTCTATACCAGTCGGTGATGTGGATAGCAATACTGTATCATTAGCATATCAGATCTCTGGTAATTCATGACCACTGATGTTTAGGTATCATGTTGCTTTCTTGTTATATCATCTCTGACATTTCTCATTATATTTTCTTTTCGGTGTACAGGTTAAACAAATACGGTGGCAGCACACTGCCCTGAGTGACTCCTTGCTTGATGTCAAACCCTCTCTGATGTCTCACCATCTTTTCTAACCGCTGCTTGTTGGTCTAGATAGAGCATTGTTATGAGGTGTACTACATGTGATGGAAAGCCCATATTCCTCATGATTTCCCAAAGTTTCCAATGTTGTGCGCAGTCATATGCCTTTGAATAATCCACAAAACATGAAAATAGGTTTACATTAAATTCTCTGCTGATGGTCTCTTATTGGTCTAACACCATTTGCCTAATGCACCAAAGGCATTTTTAAACGCCTCAACTACTTAATTACTATTTTGAAATATGCTCTCATGTTTTAATACTAAAATAAACCTGTAGGACAGTGGTTCTCAATCTTCCTAATGCAGCAACACTTTAATACGGTTCCTCATGTTGTGGTGACCCCTGACCATAAAATCATTTTTGTTCCTACTTCATAACTTAGTGAATATGTGTTTTTGGATGGTCTTAGGTGACCTCTGGGAAAGGGTCGTTCGACTCCCAAAGGGGTCACAACCCACAGGTTGAGAACCGCTGCTGTAGGATATCAAGATTTCGTTTAAAATGTTAAGAGAGTTGTAAATTATATGCTTTCTTCTCAGGATTACTTACGAAGAATACGAGATTTGCAAAATGCTCATACAAGATCAAAATCAAGTAAGTCCTTTTGCAGTAATTTAAAAAAAATTGGTATCTGACTGAAAACAGTTAAGATTAAAAGAAAACTCTAGCAACACATTATTTGCTTTTCCAGTGAACAAGTGAGAATCGTCTTATCTTTCAATCGAGTTCTCTGTCTTCTTATAGCCGTAATGTTTAGGACAGTTTCCACACAAACTACCCATGACCATAAATGGGCACTTAAAAAGGAAACAAATGGATTGAGTAGTTGAGGACAGCCTAAAGAAACCCTATGATGAACATTGTTGAGAGAGACCAGAGGCACTGGGCTGGGTTGGAAACAGTGGCACCGGATATACTGGAATGAAAGAATAGATTGTGAGCACTATGTGACATAATGATACAAAAGTGACACGATGATCTGTCACTGACTGTGTTGTTACCACACCTATCGAACAGATCAGAAAAAAAAAGACTTTAAGAAACCTGCCATTATTAACAACAGTCAGGCTAATGGAGAATAAAGATAAAAACATATGGTTCAGTTACAGAACATGAAAACATGATAAAAACAGTGCACCTGGAATCAGGCACTGGCTAGAGAAGATAAAAAGAAATTGTTCAATTAGAGATGATAATAATATAATAATAACTTGCTCTGATCGGTCCAAAAAATGGTAATCGTCTTGTGCCGGTTTTGGTGGCTTTCTGATTAATTTGATTATTTTCTTCTTTTGTTAAGAGACTGGTACATTAGGTTGTTCTTCATTTGCACCTTCCTTTGCTAGTTTATCAGCTCTTTCATTTTCAGGGACTCCACAATGGGATGGTATCCAATGCATAGTTACCTTACACCAGCTGCCTGGTTTGGAGAGTAGTGTTCGTATACCAGGTAGTTTTCCAGTTTGGAGTGCCTGAAGCACCGCTCTTGCATCTGTCAGAAATACCACGAGTTGGGAAATATGACGTATATTTCACAGTTTCTCTGCTGCTATTTTGATGGCTTAGAACTTCTGCCTCATTGCTGTGACATTGCTTTCCTGTAGGTATTTTGGCTGTATATCTGGTGTTATTGGGATGCTCAGTATACACTACTGCTCCTCCATTTCTGCTTGTGTTCTGTGCTGACTCATCCGTAGAGACATGAACCCAAAGATTATGTGGTGGGTATTCGTCATCAAGTAGAGCTAGGGTGGCTGTTTTACGCTGCATACTGTTTTGTTCTTCTTTGTCGAATACTCCTTTCACTTCTGTCTGGATGTGTATTGGCAACTTATAATTCTCTTTCCGTGTGCAATGATGCTGGTTCACATCTCCCGACTTTACCTTCTTTTTTTTCTTTTTTTAAACCTTTTAGAAAAGTTGAAACACATTGTATTTGGAATCAAAAGCTAGTTAGAGAAAATAACCTTGTATTTGGTGTAAAGCTAAATAAGATGGAAATACATTGTGGTTGTTATTATAAGAATATATGGAAATGTACGGAAAATTAACCCTTTCCATGTGATCAGGTGCTTGATGGACTCATATTTGTATAGACCATTTGGCAGTCAATGAGGTCTGGTCAGCATCATGCAGACCACCTTGTTCCCTAGAATATTTCCTGGGACTTATCTGAGGCTTGGTCAACCTGGGACCCCATATCAGTGATAAAAATCTACCTCAGTGTGAATTGGAACCTAAGACCTTTTGACCAACAGACAGACATCTAGCCATTATGCTACCATGACTCAGACAGATTGTATTTGATTATAAAGTCATCTAGACTAAAAAATGTAAAGCCAAAGTTAGAATTCTTTGAATGTGAGGAGTCTGTACCAAGGTACAGGTGACGGATGATGCAATTTCTGGAAAATGAGGCAGAGGCCGACCTCTGCAAAGGTGGTTACAAGACATTGAAGATACATTGGTTGTGCAAGCACAGGAAGCTGGAGAATTGGCTAGAGAAAGAGAGACTTTCAGGCATGCCATAAAGAGAGCTGTGTTCTGTAAGGGACTTGCTGATTGATGAGAAAAGAATGAACTGTGCGATTGAAGAAAGAAAGCTCCCTGTAGGAGGGGGGTTAGACTGACTGCCCCTCTAACAGGCATATCATACAAGACAGCTAATTGGGGGTGTTGCCTTCTTCCAAGTCAGAGTACATCTGCAAGAAACCAACAAAGAAATAGCATACAGGTAAGCCAGATCTATAAAATGCATGTGCAAGCAAAGCTCAAGTTCTGAAACAAGACCATGTCCTGCAGGAATGTCCCTTGTACAGCCCATTAAGAAGGAAATACTGGCCTAGTGAGACAACATTGCACTCAGAGTTGAATGGAATTAAAAGGGAGCTCCTAAAAACAGTCAAGTTTGTCACCAGAACTTGCCTGTTGGTGTCAATCGGAAAGCGAACACACGTAGAAGAAGAAAGAACATGACCAAAGTCCAGAGATGAGTCTGTGAGGCTACATTTTAAAAATTGATGTCTGATAAAGAGGTTCTGAAACACATATGTTGCTGCATCAGGACCAGATCTGATACGGTTGTGAACTGTCTACAACTCTCCAGGGTCATCCTAGAAACAGCTTCCACACCAGAAAGGTGTAGGAGACACGGAGATGTGTCCCTGCAGCGTGGCATCCGAAAATGCTGAGCATGTGCTGCAACACTGTCATGGCTGACAACAGAGACACATTCTGGCCTGTTCCAGCCATAATGAAGACAAAACTGTTTGGTACCCGAGGAGATATGGACTGCATGATAGCTTTCAAATAGGCTACTGGCCTTCTGATATAAGTTTTCTGACAGTAGGATTGAAGAAGAAGAAGAAGACACCAGAACCTGGCCAACATAGATAGGATCAACATTTTCCCCAAAGTCTGAGTCCTTCTGCCTGAGAGGCAAGGAACTAACAATCTGCATACACGTAAGCAAAATCTGTAAAATGGATATGCACGCAACACTAAAGTCTTGGAACATGATTAAAGTCCCGAAATGGATAAACAGCCAGGACTTTCTACTGGAGTTAACAGGTGGTGAACGGGAAGAAGAAGAAGAAGAATTTTTATAAAATTCTTTGCAGAGTAATTCTCATCCCTTTCCTTGTCTGGAACATCTTATCTCGTATTGCAGATTTGTTCAGCAGCTATCGATATAGTTTTTATAAGGACAAACGCCACACTAGTGATACCAGTGCATCCTTTTCTAAACATGCCGCTCGTTCTCAGAGTAAAGGTATTGTGGAGTTTCATTGGAATGAGTCAATTAACCGCATGGATCTGCAGTTTAATAATACTCCACAAACGTGGTTTTTGTTCTAGAGACCAAATATATTCATCCAGAACAGAATGCAGGGCCTGCTTGAAATAGTTAATTGAATTTGTTTTTAAAGACTTGGTGATTCTTGTTAACACTGTTTTCCTGTGTGTGTTCTTAGTCCCCCTTTTGGATTGGGGGGGGGGGGGGGGGGGTAGGGGAGAGGGTTGGAGTTAAAAATCTACCCACAAAACTTCAGGATCCTCGCCGGTGCTACAGAGCCTATGCACTGTGCTGAGCTTCTTCGGACTCAAACTTGAGTTAGAAGAAGAACGGGGCACTTATGGGTTACTCCCTGTGTGCCATGATGTTGATCCGTTTTTTCAAACTTCAAACTTTTATCTGGAAACTTGTAAAGATGCCGGCAGTGTGATGATAAATAAGTGTGAATATTTGCTTAGCATGCATGTTGCGGTAAAAGTGAATATTCTTACATGTGTTCACTAATCCCTTATTATTTCTAGAAGGTTTGTGTAATCATTAATCACTAATCATTTCCAGTAATTCATTGATCTGTTTATCTTTCCTTTCTTGCATCCGACTGTCGGTTTTCTGTTAATGGTTTTTGTGTGTGTATGCGAAGCATGACACTTTCTGATCTAATTAGAATGTGGTGAAAATTAAATTACAGTTTTGTTAAAAGTATAGAATTCTTATGATAAGACCTACCCGGTAAACAAATGCCCGATGAAGTGGTATGTGCCGGCAAATATCACAGATGTGCTGTACACAGACACAACACAGTTACATCACTAGGATGAATGATGAAAAATAAGAAGAAGAATTCTAATGTGAAGGAACAAGTTAAGAACTTGGTGCATGTGGAGATGTGGTTTCTGAGACACTTGCAGCAGATACCGTGGACAGACAGGGACAGACAATCACTGCCTGGTATTGGCAAATGAAATAAGAACACTATATATAGCGGTAAGAAAGAGGCAGTCAGTGTTCTTCAGTCTTGTGATGAGAAGAGAGGCATTGGAGAACATTGCAATGACTGGGAAGAACAACGGTGGTAGTGGAAGACCAAGAGACACGATTCTTGACGGCCTGAAGTGATAGCGTGGTGGAATATCGTCAGTGGAATTGATTCACAATACTAAGGACCACGCGCCTACACCATCTGGAAGGGCACATGATAAAGAAAGATTGTGACTGAATTCTGCATAAAAAAAAAAAAAAAAAAAAGAATTTGTATTTTAATTTTTTTGTTTTTAACTTAAGGAAAAGGTGAAGGAGAAGAGAATTAGAGGTAAAGTTTTGCACATATGGTGGGTCTTTGGCCCCACTGTGGGGAAATAATAATGCTGTCCCTATGTCTTAAAACGTGTCTTGAAAAGCTACTAATTAAGGATGTGCTGAAACCAGATGTGTTAGGCCCAAAAGCGCAGATATCACACCATAGCTGTAAACCACAACCCAGCTACCCTGTTAAGGGTTAACACAGAAGAAGAAGAGTTAACATGGATAAAGAAGCAGAAGATGGGAGAGCTCAATGTGAGTTGCTTGAAAGGCTATGCTCTAATAGGAGAATGAAAAGTTTCAGTTATTAACATTGCAAGGTTAACATGCATTATCATCGTCGTGGTCATGTTTCGCTGTCTCACCAGAAACACGGATCATGGCAGTTCTCTTGCCTCACCAAGCCATCCAAGTATTGATCTCTTTACCTTCCCTGTGCTGTTTTGTTTTCATCATTCTTGCCAGTTGCAACTGTGAGTTCTCGAGTGCATTCCTTCCTATAACATGTCCACACACACAAAAACACTTTGTACTCTGCTATATATCATGTATACTGAAACTTTCACAGACCAGCAGGCTCAAACACTGGCTCTCCCATCTCAGTCTCCATGTGAAAGCCCCACAAAAAGTGCTCATTCGTCCCCCACCAGTGTTGCCAAATCTGGGCGTCCACGGGCCAAGTCTGTGGAAACAGATCCTGGGAAAAGAACAGTAAGTATCTGTGAATTATGTAGAATTTGTGTGTACAGTCATCATCCTGTTGTGCTGTTCATATGTCTAACTGGGCTTACAGTCAATTCCTCTATTTTATTTTGTATATATCATTACTACTTTTATGATTATCATCTGCTAAATGATGTATGAAAGGACAAAGGGATGAAAAGATCGAGGCCAGAAGAGCAGAATATAAGACGGGCCTTCTTGCCCAATTCTTAACTATTTGAAAATTAACTTTGTTTTTTGGTTCGTCAGTTTGCTCTTATCTGGTTGTTTTGATATTGTACACCTGTTGCTTCTCTCATCAACATTTCTTGTTGGTTTTTTTTACACAGTCTTACTGCCTCAGTATATTTCTCATCTCAGTGCCTTTTGTGTGTGTGTATGTGTGTGTGCACGCATACATGCATGTGTCCCCCTCCCCTAGCTTTTACTCAGAATGTGCCTAAGATATTTCCAGCTTCTTTCTGTTATATCTATTTTGATGCTAGTGGTTGTCCAGCAATTTTTGTTCACATGTGTACTATGTTTACATATAGGGATAAGACATCCAGTTTAGTTAGTTCGCAAGTAAGTAAACTTAAAGAGTAAGAGACCGTATTCCAAGTGTTGAAGGGTAAAGGACACTGTTTCAAGTGGTCAACTCACTTGACTTTTACTTCAAAAGAGTCATGGATTTGTCTTCTTCTTCTTCTTCTTAGCATTCACTGGCTGTAAACTGTGGTGGAAAGTTCTGGTTGTTCTCCACTTCTGGACTTTTGTCTTGCCGGCACCCCACTGGGTGAGGATTAGTCACTAGGCCCATAATCAGGAGGGTATTTAAATGTTGGATTTTCCTGAAGAGGAAAAGATCCAACACGTCAGTGGTTTTGACTGCTGGAGCATTTCAGCTGAATGAAATGTAGGTGTCAGGTGTTTACCTCTGACAGCAAGATGGTAGTATCTGCCCTCTGACAGCAAGATAGTATCTGCCTTCTGACAGCTAGATGATAATATCTGCCCTCTGACAACAAGATGTAGCAGCTGTCCTCCGACAGCAAGATAGTAGCAGCTGGCCTCAAATCAAGATGGTAGCAGCTGCCCTCTGACAGCAGGATGGTAGCAGCTGGCCTCTGACAGAAAGATGGTAGTATCTGCCCTCTGACAGCAAGATGGTAGCAGCTGCCCTCTGACAGCAAGATGGTAGCAGCTGGCCTCTGACAACAAGATGGTAGTATCTGCCCTCTGACACAAGATGGTAGTATCTGCCCTCTGACAGCTAGATGGTAGCAGCTGCATGAGAGCAAAAGATAGAGAGCCCATCTGCTGGGAAGTTGGAACCTTGAATAATGACTAATACAAATCTTGAATGGGAACTATTTTATTTACACAAATGTTCTGCTTGAATTCTCAGCGAGGGAGGAGGGATTCTAACGAAGACTGGGAAATTCCTAACACAGAAATCATTTACGACCGTCAAATTGGTTCTGGCTCATTTGGGACGGTGTTTAAAGCTCACTGGCATGGCCCTGTGGCTGTCAAGAAGTTGAATGTGACAGATCCCACCCCAGCTCAGATGCAAGCCTTCAAAAATGAAGTGGGTGTTCTCAGGTGGGTGCAGTAATACTAGTTGTAACTGTGGAATGTTAAAGATGTTACTGTTAGGTTAGTTAGTTAATGTTAGATGTGACTTTTTTTTTTTAAATATATTGATTGGCGCTCGCAGAAAGAAGTAAATAAAGGACATAGCTAGACAACATAAAGATGTAAAGCTTTAGTACCATGCCAGAAATCAAACCTGTCACCTCCATATGGTGAGAGCGCCTCACTGCAGAAACAGGTCTACTAAGACGCATTACCAACCAGACATCTATTTAAAAAAAAGATGTCTTTATTAGCCATGTCTGTGGTAGTTTGAATCCACAACTATGGAATACACACAGAATTCATTATAAACTACTGAAATTTATATTAATCAAACATAGGTGGAATAACAAACACAACAGTCATAAGCACAACATCCCCGTGTGGGTTCCGGGGCCCCATCAGGGGAAAACAAGAATAGACCCTCTGCCTACCCAAAAGCATGTCGTATGAGTCGACTAATTGAGGAGCTTCCTTCGAAGTCGGAGTGCATCTGCCTGAGAGGCAAGGAACCAACAGTCTGCATTCAAGTGAATCAGATCTGTAAAACTGGTGCACATGCAACACTCAGGTTCTGGGGCAGGCCTGCAGTTCAGAAGTGGACGAACAACCAGAACTTTCCACCAGAGTGTACAGCTGGTGAACGCGAAGAAGAGAAGAAGAAGATAAGCACACAACAGATACAATGTCTAGAAATCAACAAACATTAAAAGGAAGGGATTTGATTGGTCGGTTCCATTGTGTTGCACTTAATACACAGAATTAATCAGATAGGGAACCCTTACCCCCGTAGCAAAATTATATATATCAGACAGACAGACGTGTTGATCGACACTTATAGATAGGCACTGTTTCTGTGAGTATTCATTTTAATGGCTATTTGTTAATTTCTAATGTTACTTAGAGATGTGTTTGTAGAAACAGTTAATTGAGGTAAGTTCATTATTACTAGAAGTTAAGTGTGGAAAACGAGAAACGTAACTTTATGATTGTGAGGTAATGTTAGTTCTCGAAAATGTAATGTTGAATATGTAACTGAATTATAACTTGTTTATTGAAGCAAACTTGTTATTTTACCATGATCCCTGTGTGGGTTCTGTGGCTTTATTTTGGAGAACAAAGACTAGACAAAGAATAGGCTCACTGCCGCTCTTTAAAAAAAAGCATGTCGTAGGAGGTGATTAATGGAAGCCGTTTCCTTCAAAGTCAAGAGTGTATCTGCCTGGGAGGCAAGGAACCAACAGTCTGCATACAGATAAGCCAGATCTGTAAAAAAAAAAAAAAAAAAGGATGTGCACACAAAACATGCTCTGTATTAAGACCAAAGTCCAGGAGTGGACGAACGACCATAACTGTTTGCCGGAGCAGACAGCTGGTGAACGCTAAGAAGAAGATTTTACTGTAAGGTTATTAGTTGTTTTCTCCTCCTCTTCCTCTGTTTTTTTTCTCCTCCTTCCCCAGCCCAGTTCTCTTCCTCCTCTGTTTCTTCCTTCCCCACCCAAGTTCTCTTTGTCCTTCTTTCTCTCCTCTTCTTTTAAAGCCAGTATGTTGTCAAAGCATTTCATTCAGTATTCGTTTTCTCTCACTATATTTCTGTTCCTTTTTTTTTCATCCTCTTTTTCATCTTTTTTTCCTAATTCTTCATCTTCTTCTTCTCCTCATCTTCCTCTTTCTTATTGTCTATTTCAGATTGGAGAATTTGCCTTCTACTAACTTGTTTCTTTTTCTTCCTCCTCTCCTCTTTGTCTTATATCTATTCCTCCTTCTTTTCCTCATCTTCTTGTGAAGCCAGCACACTCTTAGTCATGTCATGCTGTATTACTTCTTTTTCTCTTTTTCCTCCTCGTTTTCTTCTTCTTTGTCTTTTTCTTTCTTTAAAAAAAATATACTTTTCTTCTGTTTTTCCTCAAAATCTTGTGTTCTTTTCTCAATGTCATTCTGCTTCTCCTCGCAAATTGGAGAGAATTGACCCTTACCACCAGCTTGCACCACTCCATTCTGCCTATTGCTCTTCTGCATCTGCCACCAAGTTGCATGTCACTGAGCTGAAATGCTTCATCATTAGAAAGCCATTGATGTGTTCAATCTTCTCTTTTCTTCAGGAAAACCCGGCATTTAAACATCCTCCTGTTTATGGGCCTGGTGTCCAAGCCTCACCTGGCGATAGTCACCCAGTGGTGTGATGGCCATAGTTTGTACAAGCATTTACATGTGCAGGAAACCAAGTTCCGCATGGATCAGCTAGCCATGATTGCCAAGCAGACAGCACAGGGAATGGAGTAAGTATTATCAATCAATCAATCACTTGCTGTCTCCACAATGAAAGTTGGCTGCAATGAATCTCCAACACGCTGTCTTGGTTGTACTCTTCTCAGCCTGCTGTTTGTTCATCTCTTTATATTATCCTTCTACTTGTATTGTTGTCTACCTCTTGCTGTCTTGCCATCAACATTTCCCTCTAATATGGTTTTAAAAGGGTGTTGTGTCTTTTAAAGTAGCCAAATATTTTAGTTGTCTCTTTTTAAAAGAATTTATTTTTAGTAATTCTCTTTTCTTTTGCAGTCTTTTCAGAACTTCTGTATTTGATTTGTTTTTGTTTCCATGAAGTACGACCTGTTGTTTTGTAAATCCACGTCTCCAGAGACTCAGTTGGATTTTCTAGTTGCCTGTTCATGTTTAAGTTTCTGCACCATACAGCAGAGTTAATTTTCACATCTTGTTGAAGGTAGTTTTAGGGTTACTGGAATGTTCGTAGTGCCAAGTAACGAGGACCTGTTCTGGAGAGACTGATTAATGACTTTGATATCATTATGCTGCAGGAATTAAACATAGATAGATCTATGTGTCCAGGATACATTAGTTATATACATCCTACCAAACAGGGGTGGCATGGGCAATGTCTGCTTGTGAAGAATGGGATGAAATGTGTGGTTCCTGACCTGGGCCATTGGAATCATCGTACCCTAGAGGTTCATGGTATACAGATAAATAATAGGGGCACAACCTGGACTATAGTAAATGTTTACCCTGCAGTTGACTCTTGTCACAAAGAAAAATTGGGACTGGCTCAAAGAGTTGGAGGAAATTCCTGGTAATAGGCTCCTCATTTGTGGCAATTTCAACACGCTGAACAGATCATGGGACAGTACTGGGGAAAACAGATAAGGAAATGCTTCAGCAGAGGCTATGGTGGATGCAGACATAGTCTGTATAAACGATGGTAGGCCAACTAGAATGGCAGTGAAACCTGGTGATGCAAACACGGCTATTGATTTGGCATTTGTTACCCAGTCAGCAGTGCTGGACACAAAATGGAGTGTCCTAGCGATCATGGGAGTGACCATATGCCATGCTCAGTCTTGACTTCTAAA